GACTTCCAACTCACAATTAGCAAAAAGTAGAATCTCCATTTAAGAGGAGCAGATTCAGATAAAGAGGAAGCAGAGATACAGGACTGGATACACGTCCAGGTGAGCACCAGGAAGTGAACTAATATGAGCACCTACTCCATGGGACACCCATAAAGCAAGCCTTAAGAAATGAACAATTTTTATCTTTTCTTGCAGAAAAATATCATATGAATAATGATTTTCTTGAAAATGAGAATGAATGCTACTCTCAAATTTTTGAAATCACTATATAAAAGAACATTACTCAAAAATTTTTGAAAACAGTATATAAAAAAACAGAATAATGGATAGTAGAAATAACATTTGGCCCATCTATTCCCCATCTAGGAATCTTTTCAAAAGAGTTAAAGACATCGTATTATATCCATACCCTCATACCCAAGTTTGTAGCAATACTACACACAAAGGCTAAATAATGGAAGAAGCCAGTATGTCCTTCAACATATGAATGAAGAAAAAGTGAGATCTATACATAATGAAATATTGCTGAATTATAAAGAGGGATACATGGGAGTCATTCATAGGAAAATGGAGGCAACTTGAAAGTATAATGTTAACCGAAATAAATCTGAGACATAAGCTTAAATATTGTGATTTCTCCTGTATGAGTAAAATATAAATGAAGTCTAGAAAAAAATAAAAGATAGAATATGGAAAGCAGTGAAAAGATCTTCTACAAAAGAGAAGGGAAACAAGAGATGGAGTGTGGTAGGTGACAGGAGGTGAGAGACATATGCAAAGAATCGGAATGTATAATGTATATGTACCAACTAGCCACAAAATGTAATGGTAAGAGATGGAGTGTGGTAGGTGACAGGAGGTGAGAGACATATGCAAAGAATCGGAATGTATAATGTATATGTACCAACTAGCCACAAGGAATGTAATGGTTATGTGATCAGAGAAAGGATAGCAAAAGAGGGAAGAGAAGGAAAAGGGACTAAAATGATTTAAAATGTGCTAATTACATGCACCTACTCACTAAAGTCGCTATAAATATTATAATACCACAAATACATTCTACAATGTAAAATCTAAAAAGCATTAAACAACAACCTAATAAAAGGTTACAAATTCTTGGATAATATGGTTCATTACAGCCTTGCTTATAAACTGAAAACAAGTATGTGCATTCATTAGGTGATTCGTGAAAGTAAAAGACATTGAATTCTAAATTGCAAGATCTCATGTTCATTTGTTTATTCTAAGCAGGAGCTTTGTAGGAGATGCCTCGATTTTCCCTGCATGTTCAGAGAGAAGGAGGGGGCCTTAGGTCCCAGGAAGAGATCCTCTTGGTAGCCAGTCTAGATTCCCATTCTGGATACTGAGGGGGATGTTTGGAGGCCGGTGGACTCCATTCAGTCTCAAGAGGAAGACCAGCATTCACAGAATACATGGCCTCATCTGAGGCACTGGGCAGAGCATCCAGAGGAGTTGCCAATCGTCACCTGGAAGGTGTGACAAAGCGAAGCACCAGCAGCTAAGAAATAAGGACCTGGATGTGTGGCCTGGGCTTTGGGTACAACTAGTGTCAAGGAGATGACCCTGCCGCCTACTGACAAGACCTGTCCACAGATATAGAGGCTCACAAAGCCCTGCCCCTGCTGCGAGTCTTGCGATGCTCGGGTAGGTGGAGCCCTGTGGGCGTGCACAGATTTCCTGCTCTATATAAGAATTAGCTGTGCACTTGGCTTGAAGGCTGTGTGACTCCGGAGAGAAAAAGGAGGACTCCCAGGCTCTGCTGGATATCAAGGTGAGGACCTAAGTAGCACTGGCTTTATGACAGTGTGACCCCTTTGAGAACTCGGCCCTCATAAGAGCTCTGGAGAATGCTAGTGTCTGTAGCAGGGGTGTGGATCAGCCTCCTTTGCACTCTGAAAGCTAGGACCTGGTTGTGAGAAGCGCAGGGTCAGTTCCCCTGAGGGTAAAAGCTCAGAACTCTTCTGCATTCAAGGTAAGGTTCCTGCAGGTGCACAGAAGGGAGGGACCAACCTCTCCTCTTTATGAACTGGGCCCCAATGAGTTCAGCCACTGCCCCAGCCCTAAGAGTGCCTGTGCCAATGCTGCAATGTTAAGAGCACCTCTGCGGCCTGCCGTCTCTGACCTAGGTACCTGGAGAGTCTCCGGTGTGGCCTTCTGTTATCCAAAGAGGGAAAGGTCCAGTGACAGAGAGAAAAGCCTTCTCACCCTAATGGAGAAAAGTGAAGCACCAAGTGCTAAGAAGCTGACATTGATCAAAATAGGGGACTACACAGAGCAGTGTCGCCACTGTCACACATAGGAACGAGGGCCCAAATGAGGCAGTCAGACAGGCACAAAGCAACTTTCCCTCTGGTGAATGACACAGGGGGAGAAGGGCTTTGGTTTGTGGCTTCTGCTCCCAAATCAATAGAATGAGCAGCCATAAATTTTACCAGGCTTGGAGATCAGGATCCTGTGTCCACCGAGGGAGGCAGGCCTAAGACTTGGGAGATCCGAGTCCCATTCAGGCTCTCAACACACGCAGTCCTTGACCGTAGTGGGTCAGCCTGGCTGTCAACTCAGGTCCAAGCAATGTGGGGACATGTGTCACAGGGACGTAGACTTCTGGACAGCAGAATACACAGTCCCAGGAATGGCAGATCAAGGTGAAAAGACAGAGAGAGGAAATGGAGGCTTCTCAACACACTGCAGAGACAGACACCTGCACCTGATGTGATCCCAGGTAGTGCCAGGTGAAAGCTAAGAGGCTTAAGTGGGTGAGGCTTTACCATGCCTGGACTTAGGGAGAAAAGAGTTGTCCATATAGGATATGGACCCCAGTTCAATAGAAGAATGAGTCCTGGGCTTTTGGAGATGTCAAAGAGCAAATCATGAATGAGAAATGACCCAAGAGCTTAACAAACAACAAAGGGAACACACATGAAATCTGGCGCCTGCCCTGGATCCTGAGAAGGAGGGGTTAGAGCTGTGAAGGCTGATGTGCTCCTTTTGTCCTCACAGCCATAGTTTCATGGACAATGAGTGTACCGTTTAATGGGAGAGTCCCACAGAGAGGCCATTTGGTTCCTGATACGAGTTGAGGTGGTAATAGTGTGCACGGGGAGTCTTTTCCATGAAAGCGGAGACCCGCATAGCACCGTGGGCTTGCAGTGAGAACTGGAGGAGCTGGGCACGGATACATGATGATGTTCACTCATTCACTCACTCCAAGGACGTCTGAGGGAGAAGAGGAAGTGTCATGGTGAGCAACCTCAGATTATCAAGTGGAGGGGAGCACTGAGGGCCACGTGTCAGGGAGAAGACCCCGAGAGCTGAGGGACCCTTCTGTTCCGTAAGAGGGCAAAACAGAAGGCCTTCTCAACTGTCAGGCTTGGAGGACTACAGGAAGCTGTGATTCAGACAAAAGAGAAAATTATCACAGGATCTACATAACTCTGGGGGGTGGAGAACTTCAGTACGACTGGATAGGCTCTGTGTAAAACTGAGGGGACAATGCATGAGTACTTAGACGAGCATGCAGTCAAAACGAGGGGTCCCAAAATCTCATCCCCTCTCTGCCTCAGGAAAACGCAAGCAGAGGTAGGCAGATATACTACATGTTCATATTCATCCCTGGAACTTAGGCAGCTGCAGGCTTAGTGCAAGTCAGGAAGCGTCTGATTACTGGGTCGTGGAGAACAGTCCATGCATGAGTGGGTACCACAGAGAACAGCAAGTCCAGGAGAGTGCATCCCACGGGTCAGAGGAGTGACAGCATGTGCCTCACATTTTATTCGACCTCTGAGTTCTGCACAACGTGAGAATCTTAATCAGATCTAAAAGGACTCCGGTCATCAGAGGGCAGTTTTTATATGGCCAGAAGTGATAGCAAAAGCCCTGAGGTCTCAGAGAATTCCCACTCCATGTCGGCAGTGGGCTCAAACCCGTTCTCTGGAGGGCAGGTGTAGGAAGCCCCAGGCGTAGATGTCAAGCAGCAAAGCCCCTCAATTCCCCTGCAGAAATTCCAGAGAAGAGACAATGTTCTTTGGTAGATCAGCAGGAACATAAATGTATATTGTCCCAGAGTCTAACTTGACTCTGAACCACAAGGAAAAGCACATACCTAGGGCCCCAAACTGCGACTGACACCACTCAAACTCTGGAGAACATGACAGTACAGCCAGATACACCCTCTGTCACATCCTCCACTAAGAGTCAGGGATGGTGTCCTGACATCTGAATAGGACTGAGCCCAAGGTAAAGTACATACCGCAGGATGGGATAGAAAGTATCACTTCCTCAAGCCCACATGAGAGAAAAGTCAACAAGCAGCTCTTTATGGCCACAAAGTTTGGATTTCCACAACTCAGATGCCAACTAAAAGTTTAACATTACCCTGTATCAAGTCCAACTAATATGAGTGAGTGCTTTTCACGGTGCAGCACCAGCCAGCACAAAGGCATGCTTCATACGGTAGATGCAGACAAGTTGAGGCTTCTGTGTGAGGATTGGGTCCCAATGAGCACAGAACCGAGGCAGCACCACAGACCTCTCTCAGCATTGCCTCCCTGTAGAAGTAACTGAAAGAGAAATCTCTGCATTTTTGCAGGATATGAGGTCCTTTGAGCTGTTAGCCTCAGAGTAGTGCAATAAAGAGCACCCTGGCCCTGCAAAGTCCATCCACAGTCATGTGAGTGCAAAATCTGAGGAACCTTGAATGCGGAGGGACAATGCACAGGCAGCACTTGTTCTCAGCACTGGAGTCCTGGAGAAGGGGGCAGCCAAAGAAATAAGATAACTCTCTCTACCAGGTGTCCACTTGCGGGGGGAGGAAGCCAAAGAACCCAGTGGGGAGCAGGAGCAGGAAAGACGTGCTTCCTGGAAGCCAGTGGTATCTTCCTGATGAAAGCGCTCACAAGATTTCATTTTCTCTCTTCCAGGTTTTAGCAACACCTGCTTCCAACTGACACTGGTCCCTGCTGTTCCTGCCCTCTGCCATCATGCTCCAGGGAAAGAAGAGTAAGCTCCGTGCTCATGAGAAACGCTGCCCAGCCCGTGGTGAGATCCAGTGTCTTCCTGGGGCACAGGAAGGAGAGACTCCTTCCTGCTCTTCTCTCTCCGGAGATGCTGCTCCAAGCTCCTATGCTGGTGCTGTTGCTCAGAAGTCCCAAGGAGCTCCACCCACCACTAGTGCTGCTGCTCTTGCTTCATTCAAAAAGTCCGGTAAAGTTTCCAAGAAGCGAAGAGAGCAAAAGGCGACTTCCTTTACGACTACAACCCCGACTGAGGTCTCAGAGAAAGAGCTCCTAATGAAGAAGGCAGGAATGCTGATGAACTACCTTCTGTACAAGTATCAGATGAAGGAGAACGTGATAAAGGGTGAAATGGTGCAGATTCTCCACAAAAGGTTCCGCCCACAATTTCCAGAGATCCTACAGTTGACTTTGGAATGGGCAGAGCTGCTCTTTGGCCTTGAGCTAAAGGAAGTCAAGCCTGGCGGTGGCATCTACATTCTTGTCAAAAAGTTAGATGACTCCAACAGTGGGAGTCACGGCAGTAGCTTGGAAGTCCCCATGAACGGGCTTCTGATGCCTCTCCTTGGCTTGATCTTCTTAAATGGCAACTCTGCCTCAGAAGAAGAGCTCTGGGAATTCCTGAATAAGATGGGAATCTATGATGCAACGGACCACCTAATCTTTGGTGAGGCACGCAAGTTCATCACCAAGGATCTGGTGCAGAAAAAGTATCTAGTGTACCGCCAAGTGCTTCCCAGTGATCCGCCACGCTATGAATTCATGTGGGGCCCAAGGGCACACGTTGAGGTAAACAAGATGAAAATCCTGGAGTTTTTGGCCAAGGTCAATGAAACGGTCCCTAGTGCCTTCCCATCTCATTATGTACAGGCTTCGAGAGATGAGGAGGAGAGGGCCGAAGACACAGCTGCAGCCAGCCAAGGCACTGCTGCTCAGTCTATTCCAGGTCCCGGGGAGACCTCCAACGTCTGCCCCCCCGAGTGAGATGGGAGCCCGAATCTGCATTTCACTTTGGAAAAGCCTTTTTACCTTACAGGTAGTGGGAAGTTGACATCCAGCTAGGGATGTCATTACTGTAGATTAGGACCCATCTTTATGAATGCCACGAATCACACCTGTATTGATTGCTAGCATTAAACTGAAATGTAGTAGTGTTAGTATCCTTTAATACTTTCTAACAATCATTTAATATGTTTTGTGTTCATAGTGAAGCCATGGCTTTGAAAGGGAAATGTGTAAGAACCCCACCAAATGTAATCGGTGACTTAAAATAGAGTAAAATAAAGCAAAGCATAGGCAGCTGTTGTTTCGCCTTATTCAATATATCTCCCTTTGTGAGATTCTGATGTATACCCGGTTACGTCAAATGGTAGAAATCTATGGTTACAGTCACATGATAATATGTTATAGTCCTTGCTCAGCGGCTCAAATTTTCTTATCTTCAATTGAGTATTTTCCCTTTGCAAATGATTTCAACTTCTCGAAATGATGGTAAGATGAAGGCACTCTTGTGCTTTTAGATGTTTGGAGTCTAATAGGACTTAATGACGATGTTGGGTACACTCTGATACAGAACAAATAAAATAGCATTTCAGATGAGAGAGGGGGAGGTAGATGAGAGCAGTCCAGTGTAAACTCAGTGCCTTCTTGGGCGAACAGTTTAGTTAGACTGGAAGAATACGGCACCCCTTTCCAGGGCATTTACACAGTGTTTACAAAGATAAGAGTGTTTCTCAGAAACAGGGGGCTGGTTTCTCTCGTGACCAAATAGGCCGAGAGTCCCCTAGACTGGTGCTCTTTGCCCTGAGCTGGGGGATCCTGAGTCTGTTCTGTCATTTATGTTATCTCCTGTGCAATGTGGTAAAACACAGAGAAGGACAAGACTAGCCGTTGTTAGCAAAATTGGTGAAAATGGAGATATTTTCTTGGGGCTGCAAGGAAAGGAGTTACTGGTCTTTCTCATAAAGGTTAAAAACTTCCAGTAGAATCCTGGTGAATCATCTGCCTTCATATTAAATAAGATATCCCATACTCTAGCACATTTACTCTTTGGTATTTGCTCCTTTGCATTTTCTTTGATTGGGTTTTCTTTGTCCTTGATCTCTGCCTATTCTCTGACTTTTTTTTGTTTTTATTTTTGTTTTTTGGTGCCGGGGATCAAACTCAGGTCCTTGCGATTTCGAAGCAGGCTCTGGAAGCACTGGGCTAAATCCTCGGTCCTCTCTGACTTCTTTATAACCCAAACCTTCCCGTGATGTGAATAATCATACTCAGAATTGCTGTTAGTTGAAGGCACAACATGGGCCACATTCCCTGGTGTCTTCTATGTGCTATACGTGTTCCAACAGTCCTAGAAGATAGGCTTTCACAGACTCACTTGCCAGATGTAGAACGCACTGCTGGTAAATGGCAGGGCTAGGACCACACCACAGGTCTGAATTCTTCTAGACCGCACTGCTTTATTCCTTCTATCCTGAGACCCCAGTTCTTCTCAGAGCTCCCAAATATTTCTAGAGGGATGAAGTGTTCCCCGTGTTCAAATCACTAAATGCAGCCCTAAGGAAGGAAAGCAAAAGGGAGACGCAAGGCCACTGGGAAATATCGGTTGGGTTCATGTGCCCGGAAGCCTGTTGTCCTTACCACTGTCTTTCTTAGAGAGCTGACTCTGCCCTGATCTCAGCCTCTTTGTCCAGCTGCAACACGTTCCCGCTTACAGTCCCCTTCCTCTGATTATGCCGCAGTGAGCCTGCTTGTCCATAACGGACCTGCACTGCTGGCCAGTTCTTCCCACCTTCTCCTCTGGAGCACGCACCGGCTCCCAAGGAACAAACGACCCAGACACCGCAGCTTTCTTTCTGCATCAACGCTTCCTAGTCCCTGGAGGTCGCCCCCCTCATCGTGGACCCCTTGTCACATGGACAGCCCCTTCCATGCCATTGTTCCCTTCGGCATAGTGAAGCTTAGGAACGCCTGTCTTTCTCTGGGTGCTTCTACTACATCATCAAAGTATTTGCCTCCCACAGGTTTGCAAAGTTTATTTCTCGTAGAATGTACTGTTCCTTGACTTAGAACCCTAGGACTACAAAGGAATTTTTTTAGACCACCTTTAATTTTACCAGAGAATTTTAATGGGGTGTTTTATTCGAGATTGCCCACTGAGTACATTCACTTTTTCAAAGTACAAATGTGTACATGTGCCATAATTACACAGTCTTCCTGCTAAGGGACAGAAGTATTTTCCCTTTGTTCTTTTGATTGCTCATAGTAAAAGGATGAATTATAGGGCAAATGTACATTGTTCCTTATTTGCGAGACACTGCAAGCATGACATTCTGTTAAGCCAGTTATGTGACAATTACAAATTTCCATGAATATTGATTAAACTTCATTACAAATTCTATGTACCAAATATTGTTCGGAAAAGTTAAAGTACATAGATATGCTACACCTTCTTGCACATGCTGTATTTCTAGTCTTTTAAGGTTTTGTTGAACATTGGGTTGAAATATATTCTTTCATGCTTATCTTACTTCATATTTCCTTGTTTCTCATTAGTTTGTGTAGAAAATGTGCTTAATCCTTTACTCACATAAACTGAAATTTCTGCAGTGGCACCTTAAGTACCAGAGTTCCTCCACACATGCCTTGATATTCCAAAATATCAACAAAACCCTGCCATTTACTTTGAGAGTTCAGAACTTAATCAGAATGAACAGGTGCTTGGAAATGTTTCCAGTCAGAACATCTTCTGTTAGTGAGGAATGTCTGGGGAAACGGGCGCAATACCAAGTTTCATTGTCCACAATGCAGACACATGGCCAATGAGCCGATTAGCTGACCTGGGCCAGCTGATGAGGAGGTTTCTGATTTTAGCACCAGCATTAAAGATGAATTCACAAGTAGAGAGAGGAGAGAATCAAGTGGAAGGCCTGGAAAAACTATATGTTTGTTTGGGAAATGCTAGAAGAATTATTACCACTTTTATTTTAGGAGATCTCAGTGCAGACCTATTAGATGAAAGGGACTGAGGCAAGCCAGACAGCCATTCTCCCTTCATATTTCCCCTTCCCCCATCAGACAAAGCATAACCTGCTCACTTGTGTCTGTCATAGTACTTATGGAGCCATCTTTGTGTGTCCCACAGGTGTGCTTCTCTTCCCTGAGAACAGCGAACTTTCTCCACTATCAGAGAGAGTGAAATTATTCACATATGCAAGGCAGTCACAGATGATGGCACTTGAGGCTGGGCTGGAGGAGTACCAGTGTGCTGTGAAAGGGGCATGTGCTGTAAGGATGGGAAAATGGGACAAGAGAAAGACTGGTGCTAATTGCTTCAGTAATTCTACAGACAAAAATGGTGTAGTTATTAAGCACTTGAATGCAGCTTTTTCATGGTGTACTGTAAATATAAAGTACATTTTGTATTTCAATACATCATACAAAAAGGTTAGACATCTAAAGGTCTCATAAATAAGATATAAGAGAAAAATTCTTATTCTCTATTGCTTCTTTTAGATGTGGTTTGGAAAACCATTAAAACTCTTAGCATATCTCACAATAAGTTTCTCTTGAATGATGCTGATATAGATAGATCTCGTTTGTTTAGCAAACTTTAAGCCAATTTATTTCAATGAATAGAATACAATAATGTTTCAGTCACACTTATCAAGACATTTCTAACACTGAAAAGGAGTAAATCAGTAGATTAGTGAATTCTAAGTCAGGCTCATTAGCCCAGAGTTATAGGAAGCTGGAAGATTGCTAAGGCCGCTCCTGCTCTTAATCTGTATCATTTAATTATTCATATTATCCACTAAGCAGTAATGCTCCAAGATATGGACAATTTACTATGTGTGAATGAATTAATTAAGGAAAGAAGGGAGGGCTTTTATCCGGACAATAAAAATTTATATGCATTTTTTTATTTCCTTTTAAAATTTTTTTAGTACATGTGTAATACATAATATTTATTTCTTTATGGGAAATTGGTACATGTATGTAACATATATTAATTCTTTTATTCTTTCTTTTCTGCTTCCCTCCCTCCCCCTTTCAACTATCCCTTGAAACTTTCCTTTTCTTAGTACATGTTTGCAACGCATAATGTTTGCATTACTTATATAGAGTCGGTATATGGTATATATCACATCCCAATTCCTTTTTTTTCACTCCGTATTTCTCTCCCATCCTTCCATGTTTCAATGTCCTCCCCTTTGAGAGTAAATTTATTAAACAGACAAATATGCCAAAAAAAGGTGAACTAAATAAAATTTCTTGCATGTGAAGTCTAAAATATTTATGAGTAGTAATGTCTGTCTACAAAGACTTTTTTTCCATTTTTTATTTTTTTGTCTTTTGGTATTGGGGAATCAAACTCGGGTCGTTGTACTTGCAAGGCAGGCAGCAGAACCTCTGAACTAAATCCCTGGCCCTTGTCTCTATTTTTGCAAATAGAGAGGGTTAGAGGGGTTGAAGAGAGGGCAGGGGAATGGGGATAAAATAAGAACCAAGATAGATTATGTAAAGGTACAAATTCCCAATGACGAATGTCATTATATTGTATACTTAAAATGTACAGATAAACTTAGTGAAAAAAATAGTGTCTATCAGTAGTGAAAATATAAGGTGAGATTCTCACTATGTATAAAGAGCTTTGCAAAATTATCCATAACAGTTTTCAGGTAACTCAACTTCTAGAAATTTAGGTAAAGGTAAGAACAAGATACGTCCATAAGGTTTCATTTATGAGGATGTTTGAGCTGGCTAAGCATGAACCAAAGCCAAGGCTAAGGGAAAATCATGGCAAGTAGGGGTCTGCTGCTGACAGACACATCTGTGGAGCTATGCACATTTCTATAGAAATAGACATAATAGGGGACACAGTGAAAGTTTCACGTATCCTGCTTGGCCGGGAAAGATAACTACTACGTTAATCTGGATATAAATGTAGATTGGTCCATTTCTTGGGATAAGGTGATGATATT